GCTGGGTAACCTGACCGAAATGAGGGCGGGGCTGACCCGGCAGGGGCGTGGCGTGGTCCCATGCGCCGGAGGGAGACGGGGTTTTGAGGGGCCTGTTGTCTGAGGAACTGCGGGGTGCGGGGGTCTTTGGAAAGGAGAATCCGAAGGCTGGGCGATTGACGTCTCAGTTTTCCTAAGATGGAGGCCTGTTCAGATTTCATCAGAGCACAACCTCCTACCTCAGCTCTCTGTTCCAGGGAGACGGTTGCTAGGCGACAGCAAAGTCCTTGATTGCTGCGTTGCCAGGCAACAGGGAAACGGAAAATGGAGGGAAAAAGGAAATGGGGGATGGGGGAGGGTCTTAAGGGGCCACAGCGCCCACTGGTGGAGAAGTAGGACCTGTGCGTTTTCTATTCTAGAAGGAATTTCGAGCTCAGCTCTTCCGTAAGGGCTCCCTCTGAGGATCCAAGCATTCTACCCAGATGCGAAACTAGGGCATTGGGGGTCATCTTGGGGGCGCATCTAACAGATTCCGATAACGGGGAGGGAGGGACATGGGCGAGATTCTAGGGCAGTGTGTCCTCTCTGCCCTGTGTGGGCATTATAGAGAAGCCAGAGAAGCCGATTTGAGGCCACTGCTCAGTGGGCTTTAAGAGTTGGGAAGGTGGGCGTTCAATGGGATAATATTTGTAAAGAGAGGCTTTCAGGTTCAGTTGTTTGGGAGAAAATGGAAACCTCTGAGGCAGTCGTTTTGGGGTGTTGTGGAAGATTTGTGGGTCACTGCAAATTGCAGGCCAGATCTTACTTTGGTGAATATTTTTTGAGGCTTGGGTGTGGGGGGTAGATCTGTTCGGGAGCACTCCTGTAGCAATGTTGGAATTCAGAATCATGGAGGTGATGTGAAGACTAGGAAGGGCAGCCAGAGAGAGGAGTGATGTGTGAACTTGAGGGGTGAAGAAAAGGGATAGGGAAAGATCTATTAATTTAAAGGTTTGGGAAAAAATTGAAGAGATTACAATGCAATTTGGAGGGCCAGCTTTAAGATACATTAAATACTCCCAGAAATTGGAGTCGGGTGTT